TCATTTGGGTTTCAGTAATTCCTCTCGGCTAAATTGCCCTTGATCACGCCCCACCAGGCCTCCTATACCTTCCTTGCCGTCACTTTTAGATCACTTGTTCCCTTGTCCCTGGGTTGGTTGGTTGACATTCCCCTTTCTTTCCCCCACCTCCCCCTCTCCCGTGCCCCCCCAGAACTGCTGGTCCCATTTTTTTCTCCTCCAAATTGTTTAATCCTGCCTATCTTATGTAGATAGGCATGTCATGGAATTTACTGTTGTCGCCATTTACTCTGCTGCTTCTCCCGGTGTCTGCCGTGGCCCTGGCCCCCGTTGTGCTGCCCACCCCATATTGTGCATCACCTTTCCCTTCACCCGAGCTAATGCACGCCTCCTGTCTAGTTAGTGATTTTACCTCCCTCTCCAACCCATTCCAACCCTTCTGCGTGTAAGCCTTCTCAGGACTTGCTGTCAGGAACGGTCTCCTACATGATTTGCCCCTTTGTGATGCACGTACTTCACGCTGCAGAGCATCCTCCAGGTGCATCATCATTCGTGACCGTGGCTCGGAGCGTAGGTTCCCTGCTGGTGTACACATGGACCTACTGGTGACTCTGAGCTTCCTCCTCTCCCTGCTGTGGTGAAGACTGCTGTGCACGTAGCTCGTTTTCCTAGGATACATCTCTCGTCGTGAGGGCTGGATCATGTGGCGTCTCTCTCTCCTTGTAGCACCGTCCTGTTTGCTGCCATAGCTGTCCCATTTTACAGCCCCACCACCAGACACTCACGATAATTCACTCTCCCCATCTCCTTGCCAGCATCTCTTGTCTTGTTTTGAATCATTGCTGTTATTGCCTGGTGAGAGCATAGCTCATTATTGTTTTGATTTGCATGCCTCCACTGGCAATGACCATGAGCATCTTTTTTTTAAATATGCACATCAATTTAATAATCCATAACTGGAGATAATTATTGATTTTTTTCTCTTCTCAGGTATATTCAAAGCCCTCAGTCACACCCACGCAGAGTGAGTTGCTTAGAAATATCAAAAAATTAAAAAT